CCCCCCCGAAATGACCTCTGCTTTAACCATCTCCTACCACGTAATTTGCAAAATGACTTACATTCCCTGCAATGGGCTGAGAAGAACTCTGTGGAGGGCACGCTGAGAAGGAAGTGATGAGAGCAGTGGGTTGCTGCTGTGTTAAGAACTAGTTGAAGCTTCCTAGTCATTTTAAGGGAAGTCCCATTTCAATAGCAGCCCAATCTGCATCTAGCATTGGCTCCATTGTTGTACCAAACCCACACTGGAACAGAAAAAGATGCCGCTCAACATGACATTCAAATACCCCAGGCCAACGCCATACTGACTGCAGAGTCACCCCTGATTGGCCATAAAATGGCCATAAATCTATATGACAGTTTTCAAAGCAGCCATGTTTTCTGGGTTTTAATCTGTTTTGAATTCTGTATTTTAATATAATAAATTCTGTAAGGCTCCAGGTGTGAGGCCGGGAGTAGCTTCAAGGGGGAAAATAACACAAGTTCTTATATCTGAGAATGTGTCATCCTGTTACATATTTCTATATGTTATTCATTCTTAGGATCCAGTTTTACATCCCTACCCCTCTCTTCCCCATTTAGCTCCACCAGTTTTGAGAAGTTTTTCTTTCAACAACACTGCTGGGGAAAGGATTTCCTTTAACCAAAATGGTGAATTTCTCACGGAATTTGATATTATCAACTGGGTCACATTCCCAAACCAGTCTTTTCTTAGAGTTAAAGTGGGCAAGACAGACTCAAAGGCTCCCCCAGAAAGAATGCTCCTCATTCATGATAAAGCCATTGAATGGCCTACTATATTCAACCAGGTATGATGTGTGTATGGTCTGGGATAAGTCAAGTAATTTTCTACAGTGTTGAAATAGCAGTAAAATGGCCACATATGAATATTGTTCTCTGTGTTTGTTCTGTTCATTGGGAGAATTCCATTCTATCAATCTTTTTCTCCTTAAATATTGTTAGACAGAGTTTTTTTTGGGGGGGAAATGTTTGACCTTGTATTTGGTTGTTCTGTCATCAAGGTCCTTTGTGTGCCCTCAAGTGGAAATGGATTATAAATATATAGATTTAGGTATACAGAAGGAATTTAGAAAAATATTATCACACACAACAATTCTTTTATTGGAATTTCACAGACATAAAAACATAGTATTTTCAAATGCAGCAGTATCCTGATGAATGAGCACAGCCTGGCCAACCAGCACTTTACAGATTCCATCACAGGGAAGCTGTTTATGGTATCATGTGCCTGAATGTATCCATGACCTAGGACATTGGACAAACCTTGAGATGGCAGATGTAATCAGCCAATATAGTTTATTTTTTTATTTAAACAACTCAGCTTTGTCCCACTTTTCAAAGTATTCACTGCAGCATACAAACCAACAAAATAAAATATACAGAAATCACAAACAACCAAATTAAACTAATTGCAGCTAATTAAAATCTTTCTATAGCCAGTTCCAAACAACACAATGGAGACTGATATTCTGCAACCCCACTACCACCTGTATAAAATTTCAGAAATCTATATGACCCACAAGGCTTAGGAGTTGAACCATCTTAAGAGGTCAAGCACCAGTGTAGCAAGGTACAATTAACTGCACTCAGGCTTCCATTAGATTATAACCTACTAGGAATAAGGCTTGTTGTAGAAATAAATACAATGAGCTCTAGAAAGAGGCTCTGGGACAGTGCCCCGGCCTTGGGCACTCAGCGCCAGTTTGCTGTGGTGACCGCAGCAGGGTATAAAACAGAGTCCACCATTTTCTCCAGGGGAACTGATCTCTGCCATCTGAAGAGCAGTTATAATTCTGCGTGATCTCCATCCATCCATCCATCCCCTAGAGACTGGCAACAATGGTTCCCCATGAGAGAATGGCTGGTTAGGAGGGTGGAGTCTATGGCATTGTACCTGTCTGAGGTCCCACCCCTCCTCAAACCTCACCCTCTCCAGGCTCCACCCCTCAAATCTCCAGGAATTTCCCAACCTGGAGTTGGCAACCTGATCTCCCTCCCAGCCAACCATCAACCAATGTTTTCTACTCTGTTTTTCCTTCTGTCTCAGAAGGGCTCCAGATTATTCAAAAATACATATTCTGTGCTATCATTAACTGGCTATTGGAATAAGGTGTCATGCTTTGGGGAGACTATAAAGCAGAGAATCATGGTTTGGTACCAGCTTTTGAAGATTCGAGCTTTCCCCCCTTTTTGGAACCATACTTTCTGTAAAGCCATTTATGCCCCTGGAAATTAACTTCCTTATCGTTGGAAGTAAATGTCCTAGGTAAGATTCTTAAACTCTGCAGTGCTTTTAAACTTCTAACTGGCATGATTAAATGTGCAAAACGTATCCTGCCATTTCTGTGTCTCTGATCTTACACGCTAGAACTGGGGTTACCAACTCTGTGTAGGGAAATACCTGGAGATTTGGGGGATGGAGCCTATGGAGGGCAGCATTTGGGGGGGATAGTAGGACTCAGCAGGGGATAATACGATAAGGTTTACCCTCCAAAGCAGCCACTTTCTCTAGGGGTAGTGATCTCTGTCATCTGGAGATCAATTGTAACAGTGAGAGCTCTCCAGATCTCATCTTAGGGTTGCCAGCATCCTGGGGATCTCCTGCTTTTAGAACTGATCTCCAGCTGACAGAAATCAGCTCCCCTGGAGAAAATGGCTGCTTTGAACCATTGTACCATGCTGGGGCCCCTCCCCTCCCCAAACCCCACCATCGCCTCGATTCACAATACAAGAACTCGTGGGCACTCCATGAAACTGCTGAGAAGTCGGGTTAGAACAGATAAAAGGAAGTACTTTTTCACCCAAAGAGTGATTAACACTTGGAATTCACTTCCACAGGAAGTGGTAGCGGCTACAAGAATGGAAGGCTTCAAAAGGGACTTAAATAAGCATATGGAGCAGAGGTCCATCAGTGGCTATTAGCCACAAGGTATAGATAGGGGCTCTGGGGCAAGTGATGCTCTGTCTTCTTGGTGCTTGGGGGGGGTCAACAGTGGGAGGGCTTCTAATGTCCTGGCCCCACTGGTGGACCTCCTGATGACACTGGTATTTCTGGCCACCGTGTGACACAGAGTGTTGGACTGGATGGGCCTTTGGCCTGATCCAACATTGGCGTCTCTTATGTTCTTATGTTCTAACCCAGACCTGGCAACTGTATATCTCACTGAAGTCCTCCCCAAACTCTGGCCTCTCCAGCTTCCAACCCACAAATCTCCAGGAATTTCCCAAATCAGACTAGGCAACCCTACCTCACCTGGAGATTGGCAATCCTAGGGGAAAGTCAGCCACACAGCAGGGGGTTGAAGAGAATGGTATGATGGTCCCTGGCCCACCTCATTAGCCAGCCAGCCATGGTGGCGGTAAAAAGAAGAGAGAGCCATTTTAAGTTCATTCTGACAGGAAAGTGTTTTTTTACTAACAGAAATTGGTTGCTTACTAACAGCCACTGAGGAGACAGTTAGTCACAGTTAGTCCCACAGAGGAGCCAAGAGAAGTGTCTTCTTCAGGAGAGAGTCTTCATTCTGACAGGAAAGTGTTTTTTTACTAACAGAAATTGGTTGCTTACTAACAGCCACTGAGGAGACAGTTAGTCACAGTTAGTCCCACAGAGGAGCCAAGAGAAGTGTCTTCTTCAGGAGAGAGTCCGGCTTTTCAGGAGCCACAGCTCGTTTCCTCTAGGCCAGACCCTCCCTGGCGCTGCTATTGCTAGAAGGCAGGGGAGCCTTTGAAAGGTGCTGGGCAGCCTTCTCTGTAGTGCAGCCCACTGAACTATCACCCTGACAAAGTGCAGGCCTTGTGGCCAAGGGAGAGGGGCCATGAGGGGCAGCGAAGGTGAGTGCTTCCCCTGCTTGCCACTGCTCGCTAGGTCTGCCTCCTTCTCCCCGTGGAGGGTTTGCTGCTCTCTTGGCAGAGCATCCATCCCCTTCGCTGGCTCCCTCCAGACTGAGGGGAAAACGCTGCCCACTGGCTCGGTGGGTAGGGCCGAGCCAATGCAGCGAACCAATGCAGTTACGGGATTGGGAGACTGTGACAGTGGCAGCTGAGTGGGTGAAAGGCTGTGGAAGGGTGTCCAGGAGGGACACCACAACTCTTTTATTATAAGGAGAGATTCTCAAGGAAAGTTAGCAGTTTTCCACCAGATCACCAGCATGCTGCCCAATGATGTGGAGTAAATCTGCCAGATGTCCCTTTTTATTAGGAGGGCTAGTACAAACTGAGACAGTCCTCTAGATGCTGTGGAGGACAAGAATTCCTGAGCATACCCAGACAGGCCAGATTCAACATCAGCACTGAAGTCCCCCCACACAATGACACAGGCAGTATCCATCACAAAATTCATATTACATAAACCACCACACCCAGAGAGCATATTGCTTAGCTAGGAGAACTGTAGACAAGGAAGGTCCCTTAATTGTCATTCAGACCCACTACTAGAAACATACTCCCAAAGATTATGATGTTCTTTTACAGTGGAAAGAGAAAGACTCCCAAGGACTGCACCTACTCCACCACAATGCCAAAAGATTCTACCTATCATAGAACTTTCAAACATCCATTTCACTCCAAATGTTCTCTGGAGATCATTTATTTTTTATTTATTTATCCTTAGATTTGTATCCCACCCTACCCCTGAGGTTCAGGGCAGCTAACAAGGGCACAATGTGCCAAAATTAAAACAATAAAAACACATAATATAATACGGTAAAATACAATAACAAAATTAGACACAAGATGGGCAGATCTTAAACCTAACGGTAGCTTGACCAAAATCTATCATCCACTTTGTGCAGGGGCACCTTGCACCCCCCCCCAAGGGGTCAGATAGTCGTGGTGATAGTGCGACAGTGCATTGGTGGCAATGATGGAGTACTAGTGGTGGCAGCTCCTACTCAAAGGCCTGGCGGAAGAGCTTCGTCTTGCAGGCCCTGCGGAACTGAGAAAGATCCCGCAGGGCCCAGATCTCCTCCGGGAGCTCCTTCCACCAGATAGGAGCCGCCACCGAAAATGCCCTGGCTCTGGTCACCGCAAATTTAACATCCCTGGGGCCTGGAATTTCCAGGAGATGATGACTTCCCAACCGTAGTGCCCTTGGGGGAGCATATGAAGAAAGGCGGTACCTCAGGTAGGCTGGACCCTGGCCATAAAGGGCTTTAAAGGTAAGAACCAGCACTTTGAAGCGAATCCAGTACGCTATTGGCAGCCAGTGCAGCGCTTTCAGCACAGGCTGAATGTGGTCTCTCCTCTAGAGACCCATCAACAAATTGGCTGCAGCATTCTGCACTAGCTGCAGCCTCCGGATTTGCAACAAAGGCAGCCCCATGTAAAGAGCATTACAGTAGTCTAACCTTGAGGTAACCGTCGCATGGATCAGCATGGTCAGGTCCTCATGGCTAAGGTAGGGGACCAGCTGCCGAGCCAGCCGAAGATGATAAAAGGCCACCCTGGCAGTGGCTGCCACCTGGACCTCCATCGTTAAAGAGGAGTCCAGGTGCACACCCAGACTCCTAACCTCCGACGCTGGTACCAAAGGCACCCCATCAAAGGTCGGGAGAGGGAGCCCCTACCCTGAGCTGATCTGACTCAGGCCCAGGACCTCTGT